CATGTCTGGTGAGTATGCAGGCCATGGAAGAACTGGGACATTTTTAGCTTCCAGGAATTGTGTACAGATCTTTGCGACATGGGGCCGTGAATTATTATGCTGAAACATGAAGTGATGGTGGTGGATGAATGGCACGACAATGGACCTCAGGATCTCGTCACAGTATCTCTGTGCATTCAAATTGCCATCGATAAAACGCAATTGTGTTCATTGTCCGTAGCTTATGCTTGCCCATACCATAACCCCACCGAGGGGCACACTGTTCACAACGTTGACATCAGCAAACCGCTCGCCCACACAACAGCATACATGCTGTCTGCCATCTGCCCGGTACAGTTGAAACCATGATTCATCCGTGAAGAGCACACTTCTCCGGCGTGCCAGTGGCCATCAAATGTTAGCATTTGCCCACTGAAATCTGTTACGACGTCGAACTGCAGTCAGGTCAAGACACAGGTGAGGACGACAAGCACGTAGATGAGCTTCCCTGAGAAGGTTTCTGACAGTTTGTGCATAAATTGTTTGGTTGTGCAAACCCACAGTTTCATCAGCTATCCAGGTGGCAGGAAGAAGCCGGATTTGGAGGTCCTGGGCTGGCGTGGTTACACGTGGTCTGCGGTTGTGAGGCCAGTTGGACATACTGCCAAATTCTCTAAAATGACTTTGGAGGCGGCTTATAGTAGAGAAATGAACATTACATTATCTGGCAACAGCTCTGGTGGACATTTCTGCAGTCAGCATGCCAATTGCACTCTCCCTCAAAACTTGAGACATCTGTGGCATTGTGTTGTGTGACAAAACTGCAAATTTTAGAGTGGCCTTTTATTGTCCCCAGCACAAGATGCACCTGTGTAATGATCATGCTGTTTAATCAGCTTCTTGATATGCCACACCTGTCAGGTGGCTGGATTATCTTGGTTTAAGGGTAGGCCTTGTCAAAAAGGGGAGAAGAAGGTCTGAGAGGAAAGTGGGGACAAGGTGGTGAAGGGCTTTGTATGTCAGAATAAGGATCTTGTAATCAATCTGTTGGGAGACAGGGAGCCATTGGGAGTTTACGGAGGATGTGCTGCCAGGACTGTGGTTGAGGAGGAGTGTGGGTGAGGAGTCGGGCTGCAGAGTTATGAACCATTTGAAGCTTATGAGGGAGCTTGAGTTGATGTCGGAGACGGGAGTAGGTGAACGCATGTATGAGGGTTTCAGCAGCCGGACGGGAGAGGGAGGACATGACTTTGACGATGTTGTGGAGGTGGAAGAATGAGGACTTGACTGTCTGTCTTATGTGGTGGTCAAAGGAGAGGGTGAAGTTGCCAGTTTTGGTGAGGGTGGATTTGGTGCCTGTGAGGAGGAGTTCCGTTTTATCACTGTTGAGCTAGAGAAAATTTTGTTGCATTAATGTTTTTATTGCAGAGGGGCAGGATTCAATGTGGGTCCGGAGGGATTTTGTGCCGAGGTTGATCTGGGTGTCATCGGCATAGCAGTGGAAGTCAAGGTTGAAGTGACGGAGGATCTGACCGAGAGGGAGGACGTAGAGACCCAGCACAGAGCCCTGGGGGACACCCTGTAGACCTGCAGCTGAGTCTGAGGCGTGGCCATTGAGGGAGATGTAGTGGGTCCGGTTTGTGAGGTATGATTTTAGGCAGGAGAGTGCGGTGCCCTCAAACACCCAGACCCTCAAGCCTGGTGAGGAGGATCTGATGGCTCACTGTGTCAAAAGCTGCACTCAGGTTGAGGAGAATCAGGATGTTCAGGGAACCAGCATCAGCAAAGGTGATGAGGTCATTGGCAACTTTGAGGTGTGCAGTTTCATTACTGTGGCGGTGGCGGAAACCAGACTGGAGGAGCCTACAGTTCCCTTGACGAGCAATTTTGAAGTCCCCGTCTTGTGGCTGTCGAATTTGTATAGCGCCTCACAATCATCACCCATAACATAGCCTGTACTGCTATCATCCTCTTTTACCACTTCACCAAATCTTTCCCAAACATTAGACTACTGTTCTGGCCCCCCCCTTCTATAACATTAGACTACTGTTCTGACCCTCCCTTCTATAACATTAGACTACTGTTCTGACCCTCCCTTCTATAACATTAGACTACTGTTCTGACCCTCCCTTCTATAACATTAGACTACTGTTCTGACCCTCCCTTCTATAACATTAGACTACTGTTCTGATCCTCCCTTCTATAACATTAGACTACTGTTCTGGCCCTCCCTTCTATAACATTAGACTACTGTTCTGACCCTCCCTTCTATAACATTAGACTACTGTTCTGACCCTCCCTTCTATAACATTAGACTACTGTTCTGATCCTCACTTATTATAACATTAGACTACTGTTCTGACCCTCCCTCTCTATAACATTAGACTACTGTTCTGATCCTCCCTTCTATAACATTAGACTACTGTTCTGACCCTCCCTTCTATAACATTAGGCTACTGTTCTGACCCTCTCTTCTATAACATTAGACTACTGTTCTGACCCTCCCTTATATAACATTAGACTACTGTTCTGACCCTCCCTTATATAACATTAGACTACTGTTCTGATCCTCCCTTCTATAACATTAGACTACTGTTCTGATCCTCCCTTATATTTATTTTCAACACTCCAGATTTTCTGTTATTGAATTAAACTCCGACATTGTCCTTTTTGCCTCAGTGGATCAACTTTAACTTTTTCTGCCCAAGTTCCCAAAAGCATTTGGCAGTTGGTGTGTATCTGACAGACCTTTAGGCTTAGGATAGCACTAACGCCAGAAAAAAATAAGGAAAGAAAAAACACAACGTAGCCTATAGATATGAATTGCACAATAATTATTTATGGATTTTTAATGCATTGTTTTTCCCTTTATTCAACACGCCCTTCATTCACACAATATGCATTGACCCTAACCTGCCCGCTACGTGGATATAACTGCTGGGACTGTGGGTTGAGACAACCCGCGCATCATTCATTCACTCACACACACAAACACCAAAATAAGAAACTGCAAGGAAGGAAAGACCGACTCATGAAATGACTGTCAAGGTTTGTGTTATGAATGTACCTCTTCTGTTCATTGGTCGGACGCGAACTGCGACCTTCACATTGGAGTTACTCAAGTTGTCATCCATGGTGCCTGGCTGCGGGTTTTTCCGTGGCTGGACTGAATGGTGAATCAGATTCATTAATAATGCATAACGTTACTGTACATGCATGGATCGTGCTACCTCATTCTTGGCATACAGTATAGTACTTATACATTCATCTTGCCAAATGTACAAACTCCGAATGATTTATCTCTAATCAAAGTGTTATTAATCAAACGAAGAGATAAGAAGTCTGCTGTAGCCAGCACAATGTCAAAACTCTCTTGGTTGCATCGAAGCTAACAGACACAACTATACTTTGTGTGTCCTGTTCAGCTCAAGGACAAAAGCAAACTCTCGCAAAGTCAAAAAACAGGAAAAGCGCCAATGACTTTAGCTGACAGAGAAAACTGTCAACTCACCGTGCGACGAATTGTTATTTTTCCCCTTCCTCGAGTGTCCAAATTCAGGCAGCGTTCTCTTCAAGAAGTGCACCTTCCTTCGCTAGCTTGCTTTGCGTGCTAGCGGGATAAAAACAAACAAACAATATTTGGTGATATTGGTGGACAAAATTAGCCAGCAACAACTAAACGGTTTAGGTAGCAAGTTGTCTTGAGTTATAGCTATTATAAAACATTCTCAAAAAACACAATTTACCAAAATGTCCAAACGTACGGGGAACAACAACAACAGCTCATTCCGAGAACGAATAGTTTTCCACCTGTTGCATTTCCTGATGCCGCCCGTAGAGATCCCTGAAGTCCTAAACCTGTCCTGAAACCTTAACCGGATTTAGTTGCAATACACAGATTTGCGCCAGGGAATGTTCTTTAGGAATAAACTGTTGAAGAGTATACTGATTTATTGTAGATCTGTATTTTTTTAAATGTGTATCAGAAAATATACATATACTGTCTTTTTTATAGTAAAAATGTATGGAAAATATTAGAATTATTGACGTATGATGCATTTTTCAAATGGCCATTTCAATTGAGACAAAGTCCAACATTTTACATTATTTTATTATGGACAGGGAACTTCTCGGAATAAAAAGAAGCGCTGTGTTTTTACGTTATTTTACGACCGTTTTCAGGCTCGGACGGCAGGAGTCGTGAACGCGTGATTGCGTAGTGTTGTTTACAAAGTTGAAAGTGCTCTGCTTTCTACCAGTTATTGTAGCCAGTTTATAACACGTTTCATATTGTGAATTCACCGTGTCAACGTAACTGAAGATATGGGGAAGCAAAAGAAAAAGAGTACGTCTGTGGAACTATGCCCTACATTTCCGAAATGGTTCTTTTTCTGCTTGGTTAGCTAGGAGTTGAGGTGACTCGTCGGCTAGCTAGCTAGGCCAGCCTGCTAAGTTAGCTCCAGATAGCTTGGCAAAACGGCATTTCTCTATAAACAACTCTGTCTCCATTTATGTAGGCTAAATTGACTAATAAAAAGTGAATATGCTTGAGATGGGTTGAGTATCTATGAAGCTAGCTAGGTAGTTATTAGACGGACCTAGGTAAAATTAGTTTTATATTGGATATTCGGTTCTCTCGTCAATAGCTATTGAACCAAGCATGCCATGACAGCTCTCATTATTTATTTATTTTATACGATATGACTTTCTCTTATAAAAACTGTGGGTGGAAACGTGGTTACTGTCCCGATTTACTTTTGGAGCTCACACTGTATATAATCTTCATAGTCACGGCATGCTTTGTCTAAGAGCTATTGAAGATTAAAAGCAGAAGGGGGGGAAAAAAGTGAAAATGTCTAATTAACGAAAGCTGTGGATTTTTGTCCATCTACCCCTGATTCAGAATATACCATGTTCATAGTCAGGGCATGCTTGGTTGTATATCGTGGAGTTGAGTTTAGTCGGCTAGGTACTGGTAGCTGTGTTCATTTAGCTAATGTTGCCTGACTACTTTGCCAGGTGATCTGAGCCGTGCAGAGTTAATGATGATGGCCATTGCTGATGTCATCAATCAGCTGGTCGAGGCGCATGAACAGGGAAAATACATCAACCTCAACAAGTAAGAACCTAACCCTAACCTAACCCTAACCCTAACCCTAACCTAACCCTAACCTACAGCTCTCCATGGACTGCCACCTAGCTAAAGCCCGAAGGTAAGTGTCTTGTGACCCACCAAGTAAACAAAGCATTATTTCTTGCCAGAAACCCGTCTTATTCTCAAACGAACTTGGCTGCAACCATCATTTGGGAAACCTTGTGTTGTGTGGAATGATAATCTGAGCCAACGGGACGAAATAGGGAGGGACCAATCAGAATTTGTCCAATATATAAACTTGTATTTTCAGTTCAGTTGCAAAACATTTTGCTACGGTTTACTACGCAGTGCACTAATGAATACACCCCTGAATGGACCCGCTCTAACCTCTAACACTCCTTTACACTTCGTCATCAGGGTGAAGACCAAGTGCTCTGCCCAGGCTAGTAGACGTCATAGCTGCTGTTCCACCCCACTACCGACGTGCCCTGGTGCCTAAACTCAAGACCAAGCCTATCTGCACTGCCAGCGGGGTACGTACCTGTGTGTGTGTGTGTTTGAGGGTCTGTCTGTCAGCTTCAAATGGACAAGAAATAAAAAAAAAATGACCCTTTTTTTAGTTTCTGACGAGACACGTGTGCTTGTGTCTCTTTGTCCAGATTGCAGTAGTTGCTGTGATGTGCAAACCCCATCGCTGCCCTCACATCAGCTTCACTGGAAACATCTGTGTGTGAGTGCATAGTAACAGATCAACTTCTCGCTTAAGACGGTAAAACTAGAAGAATTCTGATCATAATGTTGTATTGATTTATAAAGAGGAACCAATCTGTTTTCTGCTGTGACAGACTCAGACTCAGTCTTACACTGGCTACGAGGTAAATCAACGCTACTGTAGTCCAGAACCTCAACATCTCTGTGTGTTGTCTAAAAGTCTAGTGTTCTTTCTCTCTGTCAGCCGACACCTATGAGAGCCACCAGAGCGCGTTATGATCCCCATCTGCAGACCAGACATCGAGTGGAACAGGTCAGTGACACACACACAGTGCAGTACCCCACTATAATTTTTTTACCAGATGATAATAGTAATAATAATAATAATTCACATTAGAAATATGGGAAGTCACGTCATTCACCGCTGCACTACATGTGTAGCAAGGTAACCAACTTTTGGCTTTGCCCCTGTTCTGAGAGGAGGCCCTATACATCACTGAACATATGTTTTCCTGTCCAGTTGAAGCAGCTGGGCCACAGTGTGGAGTTCATAGTGATGGGAGAGACCTTCATGGCCCTGGCTGAGGAGTATTGAGACCACTTCATCAGGAACCTCCATGACGCCCTGTCAGGACACACCTCTAACAACGTAGCTGAGGCCATCAGGTAATACTACTATAATAATAATAATAATAATAACATGCCATTTAGCAGACGCTTTTATCCAAAGCGACTTACAGTCACGCGTGCATACATATTTGTGTATGGGTGGTCCCGGGGATGGAACCCACTACCTTGGCGTTACAAGCGCCGTGCTCTACCAGCTGAGCTACAGAGGACCACTACTACTAACCCACCCCCACCCCGTCAGGACACACCTCTAACAACGTAGCTGAGCTACCCTCCTGTAGGTTTGAATTCCAACCCTGTTCCTGGAGAGCTACCCTCCTGTAGGTTTGAATTCCAACCCTGTTCCTGGCGAGCTACCCTCCTGTAGGGTTTCGTTTCAATCCCAGTTGTAACTAACCTGATTCAGCTTATCAACCTGCTAATTATTAGAATCAGGTGTGCTAGATTAGGGTTGGAGTGAAAACCTACAGGACGGTATCTCTCCAGGAACAGGGTTGGAATTAAAACCTACAGGAGGGTAGCTCTCCAGGAACAGGGTTGGAATTAAAACCTACAGGAGGGTATCTCCCCAGGAGCCCTGAATTAGGCCCGACCATATGTCTCCTATTGTTTTGGAGGAATCTTTGCTCCCTCTGGTTGTGAAATGGGTCCTGTCTGAAGGAGTGTGATGGTCAGTTTGTTCCATGAGATGGCAATGTTCTCTGTGTCTTGAGATCTAGCAAACGCTGTTGACCAGGGACGGGCAACTTTAATTGAGGTAGGGGCCACAAGAAATCGGAACTCATTATGAGGGGCCACAGTTGCTCGCAATTCTACACATTTTGCTATGGCGTGTAGAGAAACTTTACAGTTTTAAAGCAAGTTTTCTGCAATTCTACTAATTTTGCCATAAGGTGGAGAGAAATGTTTACAGTTTTTTAATATGAAATCTGAGTGACACTGACTAACAAAATCAATCCGAGGGCCTTCCAGTTGCACGTCCTTGCTGTAGACATTTTCTCAGCAAATATCCTTATTAACCTATCTGACAAATGAAGACCTGGAAGTAGTGCACATTTCACCTGGTATTTGTTTAGTTGTTATGGAGAGGGATTATAAAGTGTCCCATCTTTGGGAGCTCCAACATGACTGACTGCTGTGGCCCTTCACAGGAGGGAGAAGTTTAGCGTGACGTCTGGGAGATGAATAGAATATGGAGGGATGTGATAAAGGAGTGGAGAGATGGACCCTGAGGGCTTGTTAGTCAGGGTATTTACTCCCTGGTGGCCGATAAGACGTGTGTGTGTGTTCTCATGTATTGCTCATCCAGTGGTGTTATCAGCAGGTTCGTTAAGACACGATTACAGTAATTGTTACGGCAGCTAATCAGGCTGAGACGTGGGAGGCCCTTATCACTGCTGTGTGTGTGTGTGTGTGTGTGTGTAAGCGTGTGTGTGTGTGTGTGTGTGTGCGTGTGTGTCTGCCTGTGGCAATCACGCTTCTCCGAGTCCCACTGTGCCTTTTGTTCGCTTGATGAGAAAAGCCTCTGCGTGTGACCTGCGGATAATCATCCAAATAATAGCATTTTTATTGACTAATTTCCGCCAATCTGATGTGTTCTCTGGGGCAATTACTCCTGTGATTGTCTTTAAATCAGACATCAGACTGTTAGAATGGACATTTCGTTCCCAGTAATAGTTTGTAGGAATATGAGCTGAGATGACTGGTCTAGATGATGATGAGCAAACCTGTCCAAGTGGAGAGAATGACAGACAGACTGATGAGGTAGATCCCTGCAGTTTCAATACATCCTCAATCTGCTCTCCTTGTCCCTGCAGTTTCAATACATCCTCAATCTGCTCTCCTTGTCCCTGCAGTTTCAATACATCCTCAATCTGCTCTCCTTGTTCCTCACAGTTTCAATACATCCTCAATCTGCTCTCCTTGTTCCTCACAGTTTCAATACATCCTCAATCTGCTCTCCTTGTTCCTCACAGTTTCAATACATCCTCAATCTGCTCTCCTTGTTCCTCACAGTTTCAATACATCCTCAATCTGCTCTCCTTGTTCCTCACAGTTTCAATACATCCTCAATCTGCTCTCCTTGTTCCTCACAGTTTCAATACATCCTCAATCTGCTCTCCTTGTTCCTCACAGTTTCAATACATCCTCAATCTGCTCTCCTTGTTCCTCACAGTTTCAATACATCCTCAATCTGCTCTCCTTGTTCCTCACAGTTTCAATACATCCTCAATCTGCTCTCCTTGTTCCTCACAGTTTCAATACATCCTCAATCTGCTCTCCTTGTTCCTCACAGTTTCAATACATCCTCAATCTGCTCTCCTTGTTCCTCACAGTTTCAATACATCCTCAATCTGCTCTCCTTGTTCCTCACAGTTTCAATACATCCTCAATCTGCTCTCCTTGTTCCTCACAGTTTCAATACATCCTCAATCTGCTCTCCTTGTTCCTCACAGTTTCAATACATCCTCAATCTGCTCTCCTTGTTCCTCACAGTTTCAATACATCCTCAATCTGCTCTCCTTGTTCCTCACAGTTTCAATACATCCTCAATCTGCTCTCCTTGTTCCTCACAGTTTCAATACATCCTCAATCTGCTCTCCTTGTTCCTCACAGTTTTTCAATACATCCTCAATCTGCTCTCCTTGTTCCTCACAGTTTCAATACATCCTCAATCTGCTCTCCTTGTTCCTCACAGTTTCAATACATCCTCAATCTGCTCTCCTTGTTCCTCACAGTTTCAATACATCCTCAATCTGCTCTCCTTGTTCCTCACAGTTTCAATACATCCTCAATCTGCTCTCCTTGTTCCTCACAGTTTCCTGCCAGTGACTTGGAGTGGGTCGTCCAAGTAGTTGCGCTTGAGTTGCCCCTAATATAAGCACAGATCTAATAAGATTAAGAGATTTTAAGATTATTTTATTGTCCAATTTGTACACATGGTCCAACAGAAATTCGGGTTCCGCTTTATTCCAACCCCTCCGAAAGACAGACGCATGCATACATACACAGAGGTTGGGGCAGGGGGCTGGATAGATGACCCATAACCTCAATCTGACCCTATCAGCCATCGGACTAGAATGTCATTCTTGTTCTTTGGAATCAGCGGCCTGTTACTGACAACTAACTCCTCCCTCTCCTTTCCTGTCTAGGTAATCAGAACGCAGTAACACCAAGTGTGTTGGCATCACCATGGAGACGCGTCCTGACTACTGTCTGAAGAGACACCTCAGTGACATGCTGGGGTACGGCTGTACCCGGCTGGAGATAGGGGTTCAGAGTGTCTACGAGGACGTAGCACGGGATACCAACAGGTGAGTGTGTCAGTCAGAGGTCATTCGTTTGTGGGTGTGAGATAGGGGTTCAGAGAGCCTACGAGGATGTAGTACGAGACACCAACAGGGCAGGGGTTAAGGGTCAGGGGGGATTTTGAATGTAGTCGTTATAGCGACTGCTAGTGATATGTCACTTGTCTTAGTCATTTGTCAGTGTTCTTTATAGATTTACATGGTGTAACATTTCTCTCGCTCACCTCTCCGATGTCAGATGATCATGGGCCTTTCGCAGCGGACACTCCGTTGTGTGGCGTGTTTTAAAAGCTTAAATTCCCTTTTTGTCCCAATTTTATTTATTTATTATTTAAATGTGACTTGTTGGTCTAAACATATCTTTCATGATCAACTTTCAAATGAATCAAATGGAGGCCAGTAACTGAGTTCTATTTCAGAAAGTTTTATGTTTGTGAATAGCCTAAATGAAAACATGATATGGTAATAATGAGAGAGAATAACTGAATGGGAAGTTTAAACAAATCTTATAAGTTTCTGGCCTCCACCTGACCAAAGCTTTCGGAAAAACTAAGTGTGCTGCCGGAAAACCCCTCATTGTACACCAAACGGCCAATAATATAGGCCTACACTAAATAAAACCCCTCCTTGCACACCAAACGGCAATAATATAGGCCTACACTAAATAAAACCCCTCCTTGTACACCAAACAGCCAATAATATAGGCCTACACTAAATAAAACCCCTCATTGTACACCAAACGGCCAATAATATAGGCCTACACTAAATAAAACCCCTCCTTGTACACCAAACAGCCAATAATATAGGCCTACACTAAATAAAACCCCTCCTTGCACACCAAACGGCCAATAATATAGGCCTACACTAAATAAAACCCCTCCTTGTACACCAAACAGCCAATAATATAGGCCTACACTAAATAAACATGTAGTTCAATCAAATTTGCAGTAAACGTTACTTGTACAAGTTAAACAAAACAGATATTTATATAATTGTGGAAGTGTTTATTCATGTCTTTGAATTGCGCAACGGGCATTCCAGAAGCTCCCACAGCAGCGCTTTCGACAAGCGGGAACAAAAAATAAATGTGTTGCCTATAAAAAGAATAACCCACTTTTGAATAGGCTACAAATTACTAAATAAATTAAGTGAACAAAATAAGTACGAAATTTACCAAATCAATTACAGTGCAAATAAGTATTTTAAGGCACCCAGCATGTTTTAGCCTAGGCTACATTTTATTTTGAGTAAGACGCATTTTACATTTTTAATCATTTAGCAGACGCTCTTATCCAGAGTGACTTACAGGAGCAATTTAAGATGAAGTGCCTTGCTCAAGGGAACATCAACAGATTTTTCACCTAGTCAGCTCTGGGATTCGAACCAGCGACATTTCGCTTACTGGCCCATCGTACTTAACCGCTAGGCTACCGCAGCTGTGAATACAGGCTTTGAAAATTTTAAAGAAATAAAAAGTGCAATGAAGAACCATTCAGACTATTTCTGTTTTCATAATAATAATATAATATGCCATTTAGCAGACGCTTTTATCCAAAGCGACTTACAGTCATCTCATTATATATTATCCTACCTAAAGGTTTCTGGCAAGGAACACAAGCATGTTCACCTGTTCTGGCTTTAATAGACTGTGGAGTGG